GCTGATTTCCAACAAAATAAGCCATTGGTTCTGAATCCAAAGTTTGTGCAGGGGCTGAAAAGCATTCTTATCGACTCGTCCTTGGATAAAGTATGGTACAATATATATTTTATGTTTCTGACTCTTCCCACATGGAGCAAAATCTCTATTTTGCTAATTAATTTCCTGTTTGATTGTTTAGGAATTTATTGCGAAGGCCATTACTCTGCCTGGTGAGGGTGAAATAATGGACATGATGAAAGTTGCAGACCCTGATGCTGTTCATGCCGTCCGCTCCTTCATTAGGAAGCAGCTTGCTTCTGAACTGAGAGCCGAACTTCTGAATACTGTATGATAGATAATCCTGCATAGCGCTTATGACCAATCCACACTTTTTTCTAGTTTCCTCTAATGACATCTCAATTTGTTCTGTGTTTTCACAGGTCAAGAACAACCGCAGTTCTGAAGCATATGAGTTTAACCACCCAAATATGGCTAGGCGGGCACTGAAGAACATTGCTCTTGGTTTGTATTGTTTGTCTGGCACTTTTCAACTTGCTAATCACTTTGTTTTGAAATTGATATCGCTAACTGATGATGTTGGTCTTTTCAAAATCCTTTTTGCAGCCTATCTGGCTTCACTTCAAGATGAGGAGTCAGCTACCCTTGCACTGAATGAATACAAGTCTGCCACGAACATGACAGACCAGTTTGCAGCTTTGGCAGCCATAGCTCAGAACCCTGGTAAAACTCGGGAGGAAGTGTTGGCTGACTTCTACAACAAGTGGCAAGATAACTTTTTGGTGAGCAATTGGTGTAGGTGTCACTTCTTATTATCTTAGTGGTTGTTTAGCTCTATGCTAACTTTCCCTTTCCAGGTTGTGAACAAATGGTTCGCCCTTCAAGCCAGGGCGGATATTCCTGGGAATGTGGAGAACGTGCGGAATCTCCTGAATCATCCAGCATTTGATTTGCGCAATCCAAACAAGGTTATAGACGCAAATTAGATGCAATATCATCAACAATGTCCTCATGTCCATGTCTTTCGAGACGGGATTATACTAAGATTGGTTATCTCATTTTTACAGGTCTATGCTTTGATTGGAGGATTTGCCGGGTCCCCAGTTAACTTCCACGCCAAGGATGGTTCAGGCTACAAGTTCTTGGGCGAGATAGTGGTCCAACTTGACAAAATCAACCCTCAGGTTTGCAAATCGTTGTCTTGATGATGACATGCCCCCAGGATTCCTTTCTTCATTGTTCTTTGCCTAATTAATTAACACCCCCTCCTTGGGATGGTGGGTTTTGCAGGTGGCTTCCCGAATGGTTTCAGCCTTCTCTAGATGGAGGCGATACGATGAAACCAGGCAGAGTCTCGCCAAGGTAAGCTTATCCAAACAAGTAGCTTTGATGATGTTAGTAGTCTTGTTGTGTTCGAGAGAGATGGCTGAACGCACTCTTTTGTTTTTGGTCTTGTTGCAGGCACAGTTGGAGATGATAGTGTCTGCCAACGGACTGTCGGAGAACGTCTTCGAGATTGCTTCCAAAAGTTTGGCTGTCTGAACTTTTTAACGACGCAGACCAAGTTCCACAGAGATGTTAGAGTTTAAAGAACAGTTAGTTTCTTCTGTGATATGGTGATTCTACTTTGAAAATTTTATGGGAACAGAAGTTTGGTTCTATATTTGGTTTCTATTCTTTCTTTCATGAAGTCCTATTAGCACTTAGGTTGGCCGACGAAACAATTTGGTTGTGTTTCTTTCATCTGAATCCTATCTCGAATTTTGCTGCACAAGAAATGAAATCATGGATGGGATCGCCATTTCCACAGGAAAGAATGGTATATTAGATTATTGCCAACCTTACTTTCTGTGATTAAAGCTAACTGCCACATGGCTTCCAAACTTATATCAACTCCCATTAGAAATAGAGTAGCAGAATGGACAAGGCACTATTAGTACTAGCCGCCTAACAGAACTTACAGAACCCTTGACCTGACCAAAATTTTATTCGATTCAGACTTCTAGTATTTCTAGAATTCCAATTTATTGGTAGATAGAAGGGACCGGAGCCGATTCTGGGTTGGGGTTTCTTTCCTCAATTAATGAGGGATTTCTTGTACAAAAGTACGAGCTTCGATTAGATAAGTAATAGATAATTTTATAATGAATTTATGGTGAAATCGTAATTTAATAGTTTTATATCGGTAAATTCTATATTTGATTGGTCTTTAATGTCAATTTTTTTCCCGGTTTAATGGTACGGTGAGATTTAGCAAACAATTGTTCAGTTCTGCAACGTTCTATCAATAATTAATTAATTTATATTGGTTTTTATTGAGCAATAGCATAGTTTAATATAGTCCGAAACCAGGAGGCATGTATATGTAGTAGAGTCCTTCTTGGCGCCTCTCGATTATCGGTGGCAGTTCCTGCTACTACCGTGCCACCTACAATACAGTGTCGACACATCCTATCCTAATGACTTCTATAATATGTTTTAGGTTAGAGCCCAACTTTCCAGCAATGGAAAATGGTTTCAGTGATAAAATAATTCTTGAGTGTTCAGCGGTTGTTCAAACAACTACCTTCGCTCTATACGACTTTTGTATTTGACACCTGCAAAATACTATATTTCGCTAGATTCCCTCGTTAGGCTAATCAAAATTAAGGCTTCCCTTCAAAATCTGCCGCGGAAATCATGGATGAGAGATCTCACCCAAATGCAGAAGAATTAACTAACAATTTTGTTTGTTCATCACCAACTGGGTTTAATTCAGGGAGGTATTTTCCACAGTTGAGCAAACAACAACAAAAGTAGTATCTTGATTTTCCACATGGTTGCCAAATGCCAATGGAACAGACAAGAAGCATCCCCTTAGGAATAATAATAACTACTATCCTAATAAAAATAAACCCAGGGAAATTTGATCATAAAAAAAATAATTAGAAAAGAGGCCAAATTGATGAACAAGGCAGAAAAGCATCAATCGATTAAAACAGAGCGTAGATGCTGCCAGCCGCCTAAGCAATGACATAACACACACTGTCCAAATTATATTCAGCCGGTCAAACGTCCACTTCTAGATTTCCCCGTTTATAAATTTGTTCTCAAACCTACCCTCATTTCCAAGATATTGAATTTCCTCGCAGCTTCTATATTAAACCTAATACATAAATTAAAAAGTGTTTTTTTTTTAATATCAATATATAGTATCCACCTTATCCTAGAAATGACGAGGGGAAAGAAATTACGAGAAAACTAATAAGATTTGAATCGATCATTTTGAAATAGCATTGCTATTATTGTCAATATCACCAGATCTGTTGACAAATTAAAAGTATTTCAACTTTAACGAAACACGTAATCTCTGCGAGAACATTAGATAAAAAAATTAAAACAACTTATGAATCATAATTTATCCACAACTATAATTTACGTCTTACGAGCAGGTACAATTTGTTTGATACTTTCGTAATGTCAACTACTGAATTAACATAAATATCTATAAAATTATCATTGCGTTAATTCAACAATTTAAATAGGGAGGACATATAATTCAACGACATCCGATCTGACTAATGGTTGCAACTTGCTAGCTTTATCGCGGTAGTAACAGAACTTATCTGAATCGTCACAAGAGTGGCAACAAATCAAAAAAATATGTGAATTTATGCCCATAACTCACAAGGACCCTTCCAGCTAGTCATAGCTCATAAGCAGGAAGAAGGTTCCAAGAATGACAGTCCACTTCGGGTGGCGCCAGCCGCCAGCACCCAAAATTAATTTTCCGTGCTGATTACTCATAATGACAAACAGGAGAAAGCAAATGCATATCTGATATTATATTACCAAGGGGAAAGAAAAATATTGCTCATAACAAATGGGTTAATCGCATATTTAGTCCCTGAATTATTAAATGTTTAGTAAACGAGCCCCCTAGATAAAATTATCGATTTACTAGCCCGGCAACTATACATTGTGAACATTAATACCCTCTAATTCATGGTTTTCTAAAGACCAACTTTGTACACTCTCTTTAACATATCGACAACAACTTAGCACTATGTCATTCGTCCCATGAAATCAATCATCTGCGATCAAGGATGCTTTAAGATTTCAAGGTTAAGTCAACAACTATCGAGGAGACTAAAGAGCTTATGGGAATCTAGATTTGTAAGATTTTACTATCTTTCCGTTCAACTTATTCAATAACTTTAGAGTATTCACCAATATTGTACCCCCTTCCTTCCGAATTAAAGATTAAAGAATTCGTAATGAGTCAAATGTCCCCAAGTAGGATTCAAAGCTACAACCAATAAGTTAACAACCGACTGCTCTATCACTGAGCTACTACAAGGAACAACGAGAGATAAGATCTCATAGAGTTAAATTCCCGTTCTCCTCCCATGAACAATATGAGTCCCCAGAACATTTATTAAGAACAACGTGTATTAGTATTTAGTAAGTTGATAATATTAGTCGAGAAATTCAATATTGTTAACATTAATACTCTCCATTTCATATTTTATTTCAAAGATGTCTTATTTAGGTGAGCCAGTTTGTCTAAATTTTGCTAAACTTCTTACTAGAAGAAGTTTGGCACCTTGATCCTATGAGAATAGGATTAGGTGGCCTCCTATGGACAATGATCCTCTAATCCCTATTTGGCTGCAAATTGTAATTCCTCCCTATGAAAATCCTACTCTATAAAAGTAAAATCCCACTTAAATATCTCAATGATAGAGAATGCTTCGATTCAACGTCAAACTAAATTTAATATAACACCATTAAACAACTTAAAAAAAACTAGAATTGTAGGATTGTACTATTTTTAACCTTCTAAAAAATCTCAAAAGACTTCGATAATATTAGAGTGTATCAACCTTACTTTATCAAGAATTCAAGATAACAAATGTAGGGATTCACTACAGACAAAGTGGGTGAATAAGTCAATAACATTAATTTGAGAAGCTCTTTTGTTAAGTATTCATAATTCAGGTACTAAATAAGCCATTGACCTAATTTAAACAAATTCAACGAACGATTTCCACGTTCATTGGCTAGCTCGGAAATTCAAATCCTTCTTCTTTGACCAGTTTTCCAGCATCTCAATAGTCTCCCACTTTATAAACCAAAAACCCCAACGAATTTCCTCTCCCCTCAAAAACCAGCCTGTTGCATCTTCATACCTCCGCCACTCGCTCGCCGTTGGCGCTTCTTCTCTCAAAGTCGCCGACTTTTCCCATTTTCCTTTTCCGGGTCCTTGCTATTTTCAGAGGAAAATCAAGAGAGCTGAAAAAAACAGGGGAAAAACAGAGAGATTTTTCTCAGACAAACAATTGGAAATGCCTCCGGCTACGGCTACGATGTTTTCTCGCCCAGCGGAAACCCCTAATTTCTACAAGATTGTGAATCCGGTCTCGGATATCGTCACAATCGACGTCGGCGGCCAAATCTTCCAGACGACACGGCAGACCTTGAGCCTCGCCGGACCCAAATCGCTCTTCTCCCAGCTCACCGAGTCAACCGGGCTCGCCCCTCGGTTTATCGATCGGGACCCGGAGCTTTTCTCTGTCCTGCTTTCCCTCCTTCGTACCGGGAATCTTCCCTCCAAGGCTAAAGCTTTTGACGTCGAGGATTTGGTCGAAGAGTCGAGATTCTACAACATCGAGTCCCTGCTGATCGATTCCTTGTCTCACCATTCTCATTTCGAGGCATTCAATCTCGAGAAGTCGCTTCTCTTGCCGCTCAACGGCCGGGATTCTCCGTCCACCGTCGCCACGACGCCGCTGGGGACCTTGCACGTAGCTCACGGCAGCAAAATCACGTCATTCGATTGGTCGCTCCGGAAGAAAGCGACGATTCTGACTCAATTCACAGCGATGGATTCTCTATTGGCCATCTCCCCAACCTTGGCCGCCGCCGGTGCTACGGATTTCTCCGGATTGCAGATACTCGACATGGAAAAGGGATTCGTCAGGGAAACCCTAAACTGGGAAAACGTGACGAAATCCGGGTCAACGGTTCAGGCAATCGGGTCCTCCCAGGGTCTTCTGTTCTCGAGCTTTGAGTCCAGCCGGAGGAACTCGAATTGCATCATGGTGTACGATATGCAGACCTTCTCGCCGGTGACCCAGATCGGCCATTACGAGATATTCGGTGCCAATCTCGATTCCGCAATCCCCTCCACGAAATTGCAATGGGTCGAGAGCTACAACGTGGTTATGGCATCCGGCTCTCATTCTGGTCCATCGGGTAGATTAGGTACCGTTAAGCTATGGGACATAAGGTCCGGGAATGTTGTTTGGGAATTGAAGGAGAGAGTCGATTGCTTTTCTGATATTACCGTCTCTGATAGCCTTTCTGCAATTTTCAAAGTTGGGGTGAATTCAGGGGAAGTATCCTATATGGATTTGAGGAAGTTGGGTGATGAGGATTCTAGCAAATGGGTTTGTGTTGGTGATGAAAGGAAAGTTGGAATGTGAAGAAGGAAGGAGTTGGTTGCAAGATTGAAGCACATGGGAACCAAGTGTTCTGCAGCAAAGATGGCAATATTGAGCTTTGGTCTGAGATTATGATGGGTAGTCGAAGAACCAGCGAAAGGTTGCCCGATCGAGTGTTTAGGAAGAACCTGATGGGGAGAATGAAGGATATTGGAGGAGCTAAGATAACCAATTTGGGGTTTGGAGGGAACAAAATGTTTGTTACTCGTAAAGATCAGCAATCTGTTGAGGTGTGGCAGAGTTCTGCCAAGGGATTTTGATGTCTTTTGCAAGCCTGGTGAAGTCACCGTGTGGTTTGTTTCTGTACCATATTAGTTGTGTTGTAAAATTTGCATTCTTTTCTTCATTGCCTTAGTTTCTTAGATTTGCTTCTTTGATTATTATGAATCTGTAAATGTGTCATGTAATTCATAAATGTTTATAGATTAGCTAGTTCCTTGAGGCTATGAATAAAATCTTCAGTGATGAAGCCTCATAAATCTGTAGAACTACTTCATACATCATATACAATCAGTTACTAGATACGATTCATTCGGCTTTCGAAGATGTGGAATGTTTGTTGTTTGTCTGGTACCTTGTATACCAAATTCTTCATCAGTCCCGTTTCTTTCATCTGAGCACTGTGTGTTGTTAATATAAAGAAGTTCTATCATGTGAAAACTGTGTTGGCATGTTTGAGAATTGACATTGGTTATGGCGTGTGCAGGCCTTGGCACAACCGCGTACTATTGCTGGCATTGAACATAAGAACACGCTAATGCACTGCAGCCCCATAAGCTGATAAGCATGCTAACCAAATTGCTGAAAATGGTATGTATTTTTCTGGGTGGAGGCTGAAAACTAGCCCCTTTTGCCGATCATTTGTGCTGCAATTAGATTTCTTATTGCTCCAGCCTCTGTAGGATTTGGTTTCTCCATTAGTAATCTTCTCTCAGTTTGTACACTTGTGAGCTAGGAGTACTGGAAAGACGAGAATCGGTATTCATCTAAAAGGTCTCCTCTTGAGAAGAACACTGACCCAGATGGTAAGGACTAAATACCAAACTGTCAGCATCTTGGCCGGCTTCTCGTGTGCTATGTGTGTCCACTTAATTGGTGTTGCTTGAAACAAACAAGCTGGGAGATGCTTCCTCCTGCCATGAAGTGATCAGATTCCATTTCTTTTTAGCAGTCCGTCAAGAATTATATGCTCTTTTAAGCCTATGCTGTTGTTTTGTATGGAATGAACGATATTCGTAAATGGTTTTGCTATTCTTCCTCTTAATAGTGATACTGATTCAATCCATTTTCCAGGGACGCTCGTTCCTTTCCCTAGCAGAAAATCCAGAGCACAAACACCAACGCGACCGCACCTTTACATCTTCTGATAATGGTAATCAACTGAATCATGGTTTGTCTTTTGATTACATTGGTAACGTCAAGCCAACAAAGTTACTGTTGGGTATATGACTCGGATCTCGCCGGGCCAAGGAAACACCCTAAACGACGCCGCAGCGAGAACTAGGCGCGCCAGCACTGATGTAAGCACACCAGTCACAAGCGCAACGAGACCTGCACGCGCGGACAAGGTCCGAGGCACCGAACAATGACGTTCCAGTGGAGCGTCGACCAGGCTGGGAGAAGTCGCAAACGACGCCACATCCCTTGGGAGCAGTCACATCGCCGTCCCATCACTGTCATAGGGACCATCATGGATAAACCCCCTAGTCCTAGGTAGAAGTATGGTCTTAAGTCTGACATGTCAGCAGTCATGTCACCCTGTAAACTCACCCACCACCATGTAGCCTATAAATATGACATTTACTCCGGTGGGTGAGGGGATCGCAATTTTCAGATTCTATCTCTATAAACATCAACTTCTCTCTCTAAAGACGAATTCCCTCAACCTTGTTCTCCAAGATCTTGGTTCTACGTCATATAGTCGATTTTCCTTGCTTACTCCCCTTGACCCACTTTCTTTCCCGAACCTCACTCCTACACTCAGTTAGGTTCAAACAATTGGCGCCCACCGTGCGGCCAAGTAGAGAAGCAAAGAAAAACAACCAATGGCTGAACACAATCCCAACTTACCTGACGAAGCAACACCCATCAAAGCAATGACCAACCCAAGAACGTTCGCGGAAACCAGCAACCTCAACGCGGTGCTCATCGAAGAGGAAGAGCCCGAGCTGACCGCCAAGGAAATGAGGCAACTAATAGCGAAGCAGAACAACGTCATAGCCGATATGCAAAAGCAAATGAGCCAAGTCATAGCGCTCATGATGAGCAAAGAAGCCGCGACGACAGTGGAGGCGACACCAAGCGCGCCGATGCAAGCACCTGGTGAAGCGATAGGGATCGCCCCGCTACCACAACCCGCGCCGGCCGAATTCCCTGCGTTTGAAGCGCGACAAGCCGAGCCGCCGGGTAGGGAAGACCTCAGCTTCCTGGAGCAACACCTATCCCCGCAATACCGCTCCAACCCACCCAAAAAGGCGCTCCACCAACCTCTAAGCGCGGAAATCATGGCGGAGCACTTGAGCGGAATGCCACCCACCCTCCCCACGTATAACGGGACGACCGATCCTGAAGACCACGTGAGCACCTTCTGCTTGCGCATGCAACTCCAAACAAATTCCAACGCGGCACTATGCATAACCTTCCCGTCAACATTCTCCGGAATATGCCTCGATTGGTACAACAGACTCCCAAACGGAATCATCCGCTCCTTCGAAGAGTTCATACTCTTGTTCACAACAAAGTTCGCGTCCCAGAAAAGAAGTCCTCTCCACCTCAAGGCGCTGATAGACATAAGGCAGAAGGACGGGGAAAGCCTGCGAGCATTCTACGCCAGATGGTCCAGGGTGGCGATGGCCGTGCGCGACCTTACTCCCGAAACCGCTGCCCATCACCTTATGGACGCCACCACCAACATGGAGCTCAAACGGGCATTGGCGAAAAGACCTGTCACGCTATCGACAGAGCTAGAGATGAAAATCGAGAAGGCAATCACGCTGGAAGAAATGCTCGGAGCGGGGTCTGTCAGGCGCTTTGAGCCCGCGAAGCCGCCCCGAGAAGACCAGGGGCGGAGGCAGCTCCCGGTGCCGCGGAAGCAATTGGCACAGTTACACAGCGGTCCGAAGCGCCACCCTCCACCACCGCCAGAACAAGCTCAGCGGGGACGATCACCCGATAGGCGCCCGTCAAACGCCTATACCCCACTCAATGAGTCGGTAAAGAACGTGTTCCACGTTCTCCGCGAGAAAGGTTACAAGATCAATTGGCCCGCGCCCTTGAAGGCCCCACTACACATGCGCGACCCAAAGAAGCATTGCGACTTCCACAGAGAAACGGGCCACTGGATGGAAGATTGCCGGGAGTTACGATACGAAATCGAAGGCCTCATACGAAGAGGGTTACTCACGGAATTCATCCGTGGAGTGGAGAGCCAACAAGAACAGCTCGGAAATCTACCACCACCCCCGCAAGCCGACTACAATGAGACTACTGGCTCATATGTAGTACGCAAAGAAATAGGGGTGGTGACGGAAGAAGGAGATCGCCCGAAGAAAAAAATCAAGCGCGAACGCGCGATAGAATGCGCAGCGGCAGATGTCCAAACAAGGTGCCAACTGAGCTTCGACGACACCGAATTACCGCAGGGAATTCCGTCAGAAGATCCGCTCACCATCACCGCTCTGGTGGCCGCCTGCAAAATACACCACCTACTGATAGATGAGGGTAGCGCGACAGACATCCTTTTTAAAAGCACTGTCAACCAAATGGACATCGATCCGCACTTAATCAAGCGCGCCCAAGGGAACTTGGTCGGGTTCTCTGAAACGAGAGTTCCAGTAATTGGTGTGGTAACTCTTCCTGTTGTTATCGGAGACCAAGAACCGCGCATCTCAAAGCAAGTCGAGTTCACAATAGTCGACTGCAACTCGTCCCACAACGGCATCTTTGGCAGACCATTCCTAGCAAAATTCATGGCTCTCCCATCCACATGCCACCAGAAGCTTAAGTTCCCCACCAAGATGGGGACCGGAGAGGCGCGCGGGACACCATGGGGAGTTCCAAAACTCGAAGGAGAAATCCGCCAGACCAACATTGTCGACACAAGGCCAGAAGAACCCCGCCCAGAATCGATGGATTCCGATTTCGAAGTCGCGCTCGACCCAACCGAACCAACTAGAAAAGTGCGCATCTCGACTCACGTCCGCAGTGATGCGATTGAGCCGCTGATAGCGTTACTGAAGGAATATAGGGAGTTATTTGCTTGGTGCACAGAAGACATGCTAGGAGTACCAAGGCATGTAGCCCAACATTGCCTCGAAGTCCCACCTAGCGCGCCTCCAAGGCAGCAAGCGCGTCGTAGCTTCACGGGCGACAAACTAAAAGCCATCGAAGAAGAGGTGGCGCGACTGTTGGCAGCAGGGTTGATACGTCCGGTCAAATACCCGAAGTGGTTGGCAAATGTAGTCTTGGTGAAAAAGTCTTCAGGGGCCTGGCAGATGTGCGTCGACTACACAACGATCAACAAGGTGTGCCCGGGAGACCCTTACCCCTTGCCGCGCATTGACCAACTGATCGACGCCACTGCCGACCACGAGACACTGTCTTTCCTAGATATGTTCTCAGGATACCACCAAATCCCAATGTGGCGCGAAGATGAGGAAAAAATGGCTTTCATGACTCCCTTCGGAAACTTCTGTTTCGTCGGAATGCCGTTCGGACTGAAGAACGCGGGTGCACATACCAAAGAATGATCGATTCAGTGTTCTCACAACAGAGAGGGCGGAACATCGAGGTATATGTGGATGACCTCATCGTTAAGACTAAGGCTGGTAACTCGCATCTGGAAGATCTGCGCGAGACATTCGAGGCGCTCCGCAAACACAGCCTCCGCTTAAACCCACTGAAGTGTGTTTTTGGAGTAGAAGCAGGGAAATTTCTTGGCTTCATAATAACCAAGTGCGGCATTGAGGTCGACCCGAAGGAGATCACCGCGGTACAACAGCTGCGGGCGCCAAGAAGCGCATTGGAGATTCAATCTCTGAACGGCAAGATAGCGGCGTTAGGAAGGTTCATACCAAGGTCAGCTGACAAGTGTGCGCCTTTCTTCAGGACACTAAAAAACGGCACACGATTCGCATGGTCCAAAGAGTGCGAAGAGGCCTTCCAAGAGCTTAAAGCGTACCTTGTATCCCCCCTGTACTGTCCGCTCCCAAGCTTAATGAAAAACTCTTCCTGTATCTAGCTGTGTCAACGAGAGCTGTGAGCGCAGTGCTAATATCCAGAAGAGATGGCCAAAACGAACGCCCAGTGTATTACACTTCGCGAACACTAGTCAGCGCAGAAACAAGATACTCCCCAATAGAGAAAGCCGCCTTAGCGTTGGTTAGCGCATCGCAGAAGTTACGCCCCTATTTCCAAGCGCACCAAATCATCGTCCTGACCAACCTTCCATTAAAAAAGATCATAACCTCAATGGAAGTGTCAGGGCGGATGGTCAAATGGGCGGTCGAGCTGTCAGAGTACGACATCCAATACGCGCCAAGGCCAGCAATAAAGGCGCAAATTTTAGCGGACTTCATCGCTGAAGGGGTCACTCTCGAGACAAGACCGGAAGGATTATTGGAGGTATACATAGACGGCGCAGCAAGCAAACACGGCGCCGGCGCGGGTGTCGTCATGCGCACTCCCACAGGCGTCGTCCACGAAATAGCAATCAGGTTCAGAACGTTGAAGACAAATAATGCGGCCGAGTATGAAGCCATCCTAGCAGGAATGACCGCCGCCAACGACTTGGGCGCTAGAACGATTAGAGTGCTCTCCGACTCCTCACTCGCAGTGAACCAGTTGAACGGTAGCTTCGATGCTAAGGAAGACACACTCGCGCAATACGTGGAGCGTGTCAAACAACGAGCGAGTACCTTCGAGACGGTGACTTACGCGCAAATACCAAGAGAGTAAAACATGCATGCCGACGCGCTGTCGAAGTTAGCGACCGCCACTGACTTTGAGTCGATGCGTCTCGTAACGGTCCAAAAGGAGGAAGAAGAAGAGAATCGCCAAGAAGTGGCGATTAACACCACTCAACTCACTCCCGACGAAGACTAGAGAGCCCCGATTGTGAAGTACTTACAAGACGGCACAGTACCAGATAATGATAAAGAGGCGTGGGTTTTGAGGCAAAAAGCGGCCTGATGTACACTCATCGGAGGAGAGTTGTACCGACGGTTATACTAGGGAACCTACCTAAAATGCATTGGGCCTGAAGAGGCGCGCAACATGGTGCGCGACCTACACGAAGGGTTGTGCGCAATGCACGCCGGCCCACGCAGCATGGAGTGCACCATCCTGCTACACATATACTATTGGCCACGCGTAAAAAAGGACACGAAGAAATACGCAGACCAATGCCACAAGTGCCAGATTAATGCACGTCAGCATCACCTCCCGTCCACCGAGCTTCAAGGCAACCTGAGTCCATGGCCTTTCGCGCAATGGGAGTGGACCTCTTGGGCCCCTTCCCAAAGGCAAAAGGAAAGCGCAAATACATTATCGTGGCAGTAGACTACTTCACCAAGTGGATCGAAGCTGAAGCACTAGCCTCGATAACGGCACAACAGGTGACGCGTTTCTTGAGGAACAATATCCTGGTGCGGTTTGGAGTCCCAAACGCGCTCATCTTCGATCATGGGAAACAATTTGACTACGCGGAAGTAATAGACTTCTGCGACCAAGTAGGGATCATCGCGAGGTTTGCATCGGTAGACTACCCTCAAGCCAACGGCCAAGCGGAATCCGCCAACAAAGCAATCCTTCATGGCTTGCACACTCGCTTGAACGAAGCCAAAGGTAATTGGGCGGACGAGCTCAACACAATCTTATGGGCACATCGAACCACGTACAAAGTGACAACAGGCGAAACTCCATTCGCGCTCACGTACGGCACTGACGCGGTTATCCCCATCGAGACAACGACCCCAACGTATCGTATCATGATGTACAACGAAGAAACCAACGATGAGGCACGCATGTTAGACTTGGAACTGGCGCAGGAAAGACGCTACTTAGCAGCCATCAAACTGGCCGCGATGAAGGAGCAAGTGGCCAAATACTACAACGCGAAATTAGTCCCACACAAGCTAATTCTCGGTGACCAAGTGCTGCGACGAAACTTCCGCCCCGACCCTAAACACGGAAAGCTCGCCTCAGTATGGGAGGGCCCATACCTAATAAACGAAGTGGTCGGCGCCAACACTTTCAAGCTCAGCGAATTGGGGGGCAACAAGGTTGTCAAACCGGTTTATGCCGTTACGCCGGTTTTGTAAGCGAAATGGTTCGACCGTGGTACAACCGGTATGTATGCCGGTTTATGCCGGTTTCAGTAATTAAATAGGAAAAATAAGATTATATAAAAATAAATAAAACAAACAAACTATAAAAATAAAAAACCAAAAAAGGGAGAGATTTTTGTCTCCTGTACGTACTACTCTTCTCCCAAATCCCCCAGTAGCCTTTCTCCAACCCTAGCCGCTCCTCTCCCCTATCCTTCTCATTCCTTTTCCTCAGCCGTCGTCCAAACATAGAATCAAAAGGGGAAATATCCTTCCTCTCTCCTCTCAATTGATTTGCTCTCTGTCTATTCCTTGTCCTCTCCGACGAAATAAACATAGAAGGGAAAATATGGTTCCTCCACAGCCGTTCGAACCCAGAGGTAGGAGGCGGGGCAGTTGAGGATTTTGCGGAGGACGACGGAGTATGTCTCCAGAATTCAGATACCGGCACTTAACATTCCGGTTGAACCGTCGGAATTCCCGGTTTTGACCGGTGTTGACCGGCGTTGACCACAACAAAATACCGGTGGTATTCCAGCCGGTTTCATGACCGACACCGGTTGGACCTGGTTCAACCGGCCGGCATACCACCGGTTTGACAACTATGGGGGGCAACGAAATCCCAAGGACGTGGAACGCGCAGAATCTCAGGAAATATCACCGGTCAACCTAATATGTATCTTGTTCTTAATGGCGCATTGTCGCAAGAGAATATAAAGTACAAAGTTCGTTAGAACAAAACAATAGTAATAGTCATGAACTATTTGCACCCCCAAAAGTTCGTTAGAACAAAACAATAGCAATAGTCATGAACTATTCGCGCCCCAAAAAGTTCGTCATAACAAGACAATAGCAATAGTCATGAACTATTTGTGCTTACAAAGTTCGTCGGAACAAAACGATAGCAATAGTCATGAACTATTCGCGCCCCCAAAATTTCGTCAGCATAAAACAATAGCAATAGTCATGAAGTATTTGCGCCTACAAAGTTCGTCGGAACAAAACGATAGCAATAGTCATAAACTATTCGCCCCTCCCCTTAGTCCGACAGGACACAAACTAGCAATGGTCACGAACCGCTCGCGGTGATAATCCAAGCAAAAAACAAAAAAAACAAAAAACGACTAAAGGCAACAACTATAAAGGCGGTCACGCAACTCACATAGAACAAGGAATAAAAGTGCTTTTGTATTTCATAGAATGGGAGCGAAAACACACAGCGCTAAACAAAAAAAAACAACATAAAGGCCTTGACAACAAAATGAGCCCAATAAGACGCGACTACACTCAATCTATGTTCTCAGCTGTAGTCTCCGCGTCCGCCTCATCCGCCTGCACACCAGCCTCGCCTCCCTTGTCCGCGCTAGAACCTCCGCCCTCAACCGCAGCTTCGGTGCACACCTCACCTTCCTCGTTCTCCTCCTCCTCCTCAGACCCTTCCTCCGACTCCGTGTCCGAGCCCAGTGACCTCTTCTCACGCAACCAGGTCTGTACGTGCTGAACCATGGCGCGAGTATCCCACTGGTATTCCGGATTCTTGGGTCGCACCTTCTTGCCAACGGCGATCACGGCTTTGGTCATCGCGTCCGCCAAAATCTTCACAAATGCAAGGGAAGACTTATACTGCCGGACTGCAACGACATGCGCTTCTGGCACAGCTTCTGACTTGGCAACGTCGTGAAGGCGGACCAGATCCTCCTTCTCCTTCTGGAACTCTTCCCGCGCCTGCTCCAGCTTTTCAGCGTGATCAGACTCCAGCGCTTCCTTTCCTTCTCCTGCTCGTCCGCCAGACGCTTCCTTTCTTCTTCGAATTCGGCGTGCAGCTCCCCGCGGACGCGATCCTTCATGGCATCCACCTGCTCTGCCAACATGCTCTGCACAATGCCGAGCTCTGTGAACGCGTCGTTAGCCTTGCTCGTCGCAAGCTCGGCACGCCCCTCCGCCCCAGCCAGTTTGCCTTCCAGCTGGACGATCCGGGAAGCCTCGGCCTTCAACCGCGAACGGTCCCGGCTCCGCTCTTGTAGCGCATGGAAGGTCGACATTAAGCCCTACATCCACAACGCTCCAAAACTTAGAAAAAAAATGGCAAAGACAAATAACGAACACTTTGCGGAGTTCAACCCAATCTTACCGCGAAATGAACCTGGGCTAGGTCTTGAAGCGGGTCCGACTTCTCTAGGCGCGACGGAACGCTCAAAATGGGCCCAAGCGCCTTGAGGGCGGACGTCGCCGCGGCACTGTTACATGCCGCGCCTGTGTGCATCCGCACGTCGCGGTAATAGTTGACAGCGCCGGCGGTAGTACCCACAAAACCAGCCATCTGCGGCAGTTTTTGCTGGATGGTTGCTCTCGCCGAGCTGCCAGCAGCGGCTCTCTCCGGACGCGAGCCCTCTCCCCCTCGCGCCCTGGACTCTGAAGTAACCAGCGGCAACTGCTGCGCCGCTTGCGCAGATGGCTCAGCTATCCGCACCGCCTTATGGGGCCGCTCCACGGTCGATGGTCGCTCGACCTCCTTCCTCTTGCGCTCTTGGGCTGAGCACTTTCCCTCTTCTTCTTCCTTCCGCCCCGCGGCAATCTCACAGCGTCATCAACTGACATCATGCTTGCCAAACTTGAGAAGTCAACACCTGCGCCAAAAGGTCGTAAGAGAGCGGTTAATATGGTAGAATGCAAAAAAGAAAGAAGCATAACTAACCATCGGCATAAAGCTCCTCCAAAATTGCCTCGCGGACAACGCCCAAGTAAAGTTGAACTTTTGCAGCATGCACGCATCGTACTCATCGTCGAGTCCGTCATAACGGCCCAGGTCCGACTCATATCCGTGTGTGCTGCCTTTCTTCCAAACTGTGGGCTCCTCCATGTACTCACTCGCCCACTCCCCGGGAGTCGGCTTTACATAGAAGAAGCGCTCGAACCAAGTCTTTTTCAACTTGGGAGATCCGTAGACAAAACCGTCGGGTCTCTTGTCGCGGCGCTTGATCGAAAGACAGTCACTCTTACGGGTTGGCTCCTTAATCTTATATATTTGACGGAACAACCCGTAAGTCGGCGCAATCTTGAGCCTCTTGCATGCGAAACAGAGGCAGCTCTCGTGCATAATCACGGAGGGAGAGAGTCTCCCAACCGAACAATTGAGGCGCCTATAAATCGCACAAAGCAGTGGGTCACTGGGGAATTTAAACCCCATCACCCAATACTCCGTTTACACCCCGAACCAGCCCGGGGGGCAATTACCAACCATACTGTGCGCTGAGGGAATCGCGTACTCCCAACTGGGGGGCAACCCCAGCCCGCGTGTCACATCCCGATTTCTAAAACCCTTAAATAACAATTTTGCTCCGGAGCATATTTAAAATTTTGAAAGAAAGAAATAATAATGTGCTCGAAATACCAATACTGAAAAGAAATTGTTATAATTCATAAGCAAAGCCCTAACATTTGGGCAAACCTCAAACCATAAATTCTTATCCTTTTAAATCTCCAGTCATTACTCATAATCATAAAGCAAATAACTAAAGATTACAAATGCTGCTTACTCCGATCCGTGGTCAGACATCTTCAGAAGTGCTCACGTGGTCCTCCTCTGGTAGCCTGCTCTCTCACTGGATGCTCCTCGACTGGATGCTCCCTAGCTCCTCCTCTACGACCTGGTGAGTGGGTTGGGGTCAGTCTACGCCATTACTTAAACTTGAAGCACTTACGGGTATTCCCTTAAGTGTTCACCTCAAAAACCCGTGGAAGTTATTCATACTTCCACCCTTTAAATTTTAACCCTTAAAAACGTGGGAGTTGTTGTTACTCGCCACCCTCAAAATCTTAAACCTTTGACCGACTCTGGGATCCCCTCACTAACTAGTCCAACCGCCCAGCTCATACGTATGAGGGCCAACATAGGCCTTTCCTTAAACCTGTTTATGGGAGTAATCGATTCAACCCCATAAACCTTAAGAGTATATCATACTCTTCCTTTAAACTTCATGTGATGTCTAAGTGATTCATCCACATGTTCCTTAAGAGCAAACTTGCTCTTCCTTTAAACTTTCACTGGGGCGGGGGACTGGCGTAAGTGAACTACCTTTAAATCTTTTCACCCTAATTTAATTAGGAGTGAAATACCTCTTAAATGTTGATCCTTAAAGATCAAGCAACCTTCATTAAATAACATAAATATAAAAGCTTCAAGTAAATATTGACAGCTCAAATAATCATATACTTCACAATCATAACTCAAATAGAGCATCTCAGATAATATCTCAAATAAAACATGCTTTATCAATCACGACATAAATCAATCACTGGCATACAATTCACATAAACACACATACGTAAAACTCGTAAGTCAAATACTTGAAAATACGTAAGGCGTAGAATTTACCCCCCTTGAACCACTCACCTTATTTGGTCGATCAGTTAAACTTGATCTAGCCCCCAGTCAAAGGATCGATGCTCAAGAGAAGATGATTCGCCTTGTCAACCTATGGCGAATCCTGAGATTAGATCGGTTGGGTTTCGGGTACTTAGCGACGGTTTTCTCGACGTGCGACTACTTTGCAAGATGTGCAAAGTACGACATACTAATATACCAATTAATATAATATACTAGAATCATAATTCTTTAAACCCAACACTTTTAATTTAAAGTCCAAGTTAATTGAAATCATTGAACAACTAATTATGCTAGGATAGCTTACGTAGTTGAAATCAAAGCTCAATTAGGTCATAAGAAGGCACATTACTCTACTAGAGAAATTACTAGCTTTATCTTTTAACTGCATAGATCAATAGGACTAAATTACTATATCATGTTTACTTTTCCTAGAGAACTTAACCCTAGTATTCTCGTTGGCAAAACTAAACTGGACAATCCAATTTACTGATTAGATTAATTAACTTATAATTTGCTAGGATTATTATCATACTATTAGACCAGTAACTAAAATATCCATTAATTAATTTACAGCCTTATAATTATGAAACCAATAGAATTTCCTATTATATATCTTGACCCTCATAATTACAGCCTTATATTTAATCGAATACAGTTTTCTCCGATTGACACTTGTTAACCTAGAGGATTAAATTACCAAACGTACAGCTCATTTAGTGACAGTCAATAGATCAGTCACTAAATATGTTTGGTGTTCGTCGCTAAAGGATTGCTACTGGGTTGGTCGGCTAAACTGTAGCAACGACAAAAGATCTGTCCCTAAAAGCATGTATTCCCGTCGCTAAATTCCCATGATTGTACAAGCTCGTATTTAATCATACAAACGTCGATTATAATGCGAGGGATCAGATTTCCTTACCTCGTATTCGTGCCTAGACCTTCATTTGAGTCATGAGGGTCGTTGTTTCTTGGTTTATTAGTCGTTTGATAACCCGGTACCTTTGTCGTCGAGGCTACGACGGAAAACGACCATGGTTAGCTAATTTATAGCTTCTAATATTGGAAAGGGTCTGGGATCTACCACTCTTACCTACTGTTCTCACGAGAGAGTGGAAGATACGAAGGAAACCAACGCTCGTTATGTGATCCTTCTCTGGTAACGACAATGAACGGTGGTGTGGCTGGTGATGTGGCGAGATGATGATGACGAGATGGATGAGTACGTGTTATTGTTGGCCTCAACCTCCTCCTGCTATCAGTGGCAACGATGATGATTTGGCATGGAGGTAAAAGAGCTTTAGCTTCTGGTGGTGTTTGATTTGAACAAGGAGAAATGGGGTTTCCGGATGCGAGAGGCAGATGGATGGCGGTGGTAATGGAGCACATTTGGGGAAAGGAAATGGTTTCTTAACTTCATGGAAGGGAGGAAGAGGGAAAATAAATGGGATCACATGATTTGCCTGCAGAAGATAAGAGAGAGGTGATGGGAAGGAATTAATGGTGTCGGTTGACAGAAGAGAAGAATGGGGTCTTTTCCTCTTGTTCCACCTCCCATTCATCCATACATCAAATAAATTCCTCACCTGTAGCTTTCTTTTACAAGACTAATTACCTTGTGTTTAATTTAAGCGGAGGGTAGTTTGGGTACTTTGCAAAGGATTAGTGTACGGGTATTACATTTCCTCCCCACTTATAAAAATTTCGTCCCCGAAATTGGAACTGTTGGTTGGGGAATAAGATGTCACTAATTGTGCCGAGGTAAATCGTATTCAATTAGAATTGGATATAGTGGGATGTAACATTTCTCTCCCCCTTAAATAAATTTCGACCTCGAAATTTTGTTGTTGTAGAACTTGGCGGGACACAACTTGATTACCGGGACTATCATTAAATAGTGCATATTGAGAGCTGAACACTAAAATACATTGGGACCGATCAATCACCGATCTAAGCATCGTTAAACAATTCCGGGTACTTCTCTCGCATGCTAGTTTCTGTTTCCCAAGTAGCAGCTTCATTGCCCTGGTTCCGCCATATCACCTTTACCATTACAATCTTCTTTTTTCTCAATTTCTTTTCCTGTTTATCCACGATCTTGACTGGTGTTTCCTCGTAAGTCAAATCGTCCTCCAACTGGATGTCCTCATGCCTGATCACATGTTCAGGGTTAGATCGATACGCCCTCAGCATGCTTACATGGAAGACATCGTGAATCTTAGATAGGTTAGGAGGTAAAGCTAGTCGATATGCTAAGGGTCCCACACGCTCCAACACCTCGTATGGCCCGATATACCTCGGACTAAGCTTTCCCTTCTTGCCGAATCTCATTACTCCCTTCCAAGGAGACACCCTCAGAAATACCATGTCGCCCACTTTATGATTGCGTGGGTTTCCTGGCCTCTGAGCATTACTTTTCTGCCGGTCCTGAGCCACCTTCAAGTTTCGACGAATTGCCTCCACCTTTTCCACTGCCTTCTGTACCATATCCGGACCTTCTAGTTGTCGCACTCCTTCTTCATCCCAGTATAGTGGTGTGCGACATTTTCTCCCATACAATACCTCATATGGAGCTGCTTGTATCGAGCTGTGATACTGGTTATTGTAAGCAAACTCCATTAGAGGCAAATGCTCGTCCCAAGCTCCCTCCATCGTCAAGACACACGCCCTCAGCAGGTCTTCCAGTGTTTGAATCGTCCTCTCTGACTGTCCGTCAGTCTGGGGGTGATATGCAGTAGAGAAATGCACCTTAGTGCCCATAGCCTTCTGAAGACTTACCCAGAATCGTGCCGTGAAACTAGGATCACGATCAGACACGATGCTAAGTGGAACTCCATGTAGCCTCACTATCTCTCTCACATACAATCTAGCCAGTTCTTCCAGCCCTGGCTTGAACTTGATTGGTATAAAATGAGCCACCTTTGAGAATCGGTCTACAATTACCCATACTCCGTCATTTCCCTTCGGGGTCCTCGGCAATCCATACACAAAGTCCATAGTGATCTTCTCCCAAGTCCATTGTGGAATCTCCAGCGGTAGGTGTTCAATGACTGGGGCTTGATGCTCAGCCTTAATCATTTGACATTCCAGGCACTGGTAAACATGTGCTGCTACATCCTTCTTCAATCCTGGCCACCAAAAATGCTCCTTGAGGGTACGATACATTTTTGTGGCACCAGGGTGCATTGCATATGGTGCAGAGTGAGCCTCGTCCAGAATGTCCTTTCTCAACTTGTCGACATCCGGCACACACAATCTTCCTTGATACATTAGTACACCATCTACCAATTCAAATTTGGTGTCCTTCCCTTCTAACACCCGTTTCTTATAATTCCCCAATTCTGTATCTTCACTCTGCTTCTCCTTGATACGTTCCTGTAACATAGGGCGAACCTTCAAGGTTGCTAACAGCTTCGTTACTTCTTCTAATTCCAATTCCACGTTCATGGCCCTCAAAGAGACCAATTCGGGTAAAGGACTCTCCCTCTTCCTACTCAATGCATCAGCTACCACATTTGCCTTTCCTGGGTGGTACTTAATAGTACAATCGTAATCGCTTAACAGCTCCATCCACCTCCTCTGTCTCATGTTCAACTCCTTCTGATCAGTTAAGTGTTGGAGACTTTTGTGATCAGTAAAGATGGTGAAAGTCTCGCCGTAGAGATAGTGTCTCCATAGTTTCAAGGCGAAGACCACTGCTGCCAACTCTAAGTCATGGGTGGGGTAGTTCACCTCGTGGGGTCGTAGTTGCCTCGAAGCATATGCAATCACCTTCTTATCTTGCATCAGCACACAACCCAACCCTTGATAGGAAGCATCGCTATAGATGGAATACTCCCCACCGCTGGTTGGTAGTGCCAACACTGGTGCAGACGTCAACTTCTTCTTCAGCAACTCGAATGCAGCTTGACACTTCTCGTCCCATACAAATGCCTTCCCCTTCTGCAACAATTGAGTCATGGGTCTCGCAATACTGGAGAAGCCTTCTACAAACCTCCGGTAGTACCCAGCTAAACCCAGAAAACTCCGTACTTCGGAAACGTTCTTTGGTGGAATCCAGTTTGTCACAGCTTCAATCTTCTTTGGATCCACCTCAACTCCACGACCAGAGATCATATGCCCCAAAAATAGGACTTCGTCTAGCCAGAAATCGCATTTAGAGAACTTGGCATACAACTCTTCCTGCTTCAGTTTCTGTAATACCACCCTTAAATGCTCTTCATGATCTTTCTCGCTCTTAGAGTAGATGAGGATGTCATCAATGAATACGATGACAAACTTATCTAGATATTCATGAAGAACTCGGTTCATCAAGGCCATGAAAGCTGCCGGTGCATTAGTCAAACCGAACGGCATGACCAAAAACTCGTAGTGGCCATATCGTGTGCGAAATGCCGTCTTAGGTATGGAGCCATCTGCTACTCTCAATTGATGGTATCCAGACCTCAGATCAATTTTTGAGAACACTTTTGCTCCTTGTAGCTGGTCAAAGAGATCGTCTATCCTTGGCAGAGGATAACGATTCTTGATGGTTGCCTTGTTCAACTTTCTATAGTCGATGCACAGTCTCATACTGCCATCCTTCTTCTTCACGAACAACACTGGTGCTCCCCACGGTGATATGCTAGGGCGGATGAAACCCTTCTCCAATAGCTCTTCTAACTGTTCCTTCAGCTCCTTCAACTCCACTGGTGCCATGCGGTATGGAGGAATGGATATTGGTGCTGTACCAGGAACCACTTCAATATCAAACTCCACCTCCCGTTGCGGCGGTAACCCAGGAAGATCTTCGGGGAATACCTCGGGGTATTCTCTCACAATAGGCACATCTTCTATCTTCTTCTCTTGCACCTCCTTGATATGGGCCAAGTAGGCTTCACATCCTTTTTGGATCAACGAGAAGGCCTTCATCGCAGAGATTAAGCCTCCTGGGATCAGCTTTCTGGTACCCTTGAATAATGCCGTGCCCTTGCCCTCAATTTCAAGGCTAACCTCCTTCTTGTAACAATCCACCCTTGCTCGGTTTTTGGACAGCCAATCCATACCCAGTATGACGTCAAACTCGTCAAACGGTAGTATGATTAGATTTGCTTCGAACTCGTAACCAGCCACTGTGATAGTGCAATTCCTAATGACGGAATCGACTATCAATGTATCCCCTACCGGGGTTCTCACCCCTAAGTTCTGACCCAACTTCACTGATGGTATTCTTAAGTTTCTAGCAAACTTTGTAGAGATAAATGAATGCGTAGAACCAGAATCGATGAGCACAAAAGCTGAATGTCGGTAAAGAGTAATCATACCCGTCACCACTTCAGGTGCAGCATCAGCCTCTTCTCTCCTCATGGCGAAGATCCTTGGTTGCCCAGCTGCTTGAGACCCCTGGCCCCTATCATTACGGATGGACCGCCCAACATTTCCTCCATTGTTGTTGAAAGATCGATTTTGCTGATTGCCAAACTGGTACCCGGTGTGAGTTTTGCCTCCTCCACCACGAACAGACTGTTCAGACTGAGTCCTCCCTTGCCCTCCCTTCTTAGGGCATTCTCTGGCAAAATGGCCTGGTTCGTTGCAGTGGAAACAGACCCCCAAGTGAAGCTTGCATTCTCCCGGATGAATCTTCCCACACTGGTTGCAAGGACCCCTGTTACTATAGGTCGGACCCGGCATAGTCGAACCAGCCCGGCTTTGAGTGCCTCCATAACTGGGTGGACCATTCGGCCTCCTCCTGATCTGACTCATCTGTCTCGGTCCCTCTGGGAAGCTCATAGCCTTTCTCTTATGACCATCTCGTTGTACCCTTTCTTCGTACAAGCTCTGTTCTACCCTTTCCACTCGGAGGGCTGCCTGATAAATCTCCTCTCTGCTGTTCCATACATGTGCACTCAGGTCCCTCTTAAGGGTAGGCTTCAGGCTCTCTAGGTAGTGACTTCGTTGAATCTCAGCATCCTGGAACTGTGGCCCCCCATAAGGGAGCAGTTTATCAAACCGGGATGTGTACTCCGCCACTGTTTCTCTTTTTTCACTTCCCCACTTCTGCCTGATCATAAGGAATTCCCTCTGTTGCTCGATCCGATAAGACATTGGTATGTAGTGGTCTTTGAACAGTTGCACGAACCCTGGCCAAGTGATGGCTGGTGGATCCTCTTGACTGGCTGGCTGTGTAGCCCACCAGCGGTAAGCAGCACCCTGTAGTAGGGACACTGTCAGCAACACTTTGTCCTCGTCATCTGCTCGCATCTCCTGTAGAGTGCGAGTGACTTTTGAAAGCCACAGATCAATCTCCATGGGATCCGTCGAACGATCCCCGTAGAAATCCTCTACCTTCCTCTTCCGGAACGTATCATAATCCGGTGGACGCCTAGGTTGCGGCGGTGGTGGAAGGTTGACGTGGGCATTACTAGCTCTGCATATAAGTAAGGCCCTTTTAGTAATCGAGCTATTTTTTTCCAATACGATTAGAGTAGACTGGAGATTTTATAAATCCTTAAAACAAATCCTTGACTCGTTTGGCCAAAACTTAAAACACGTTTTTCTTTTCCTTTAAAACATAAGCCTTTAAAACTACGACCGATATTCCAGTATTCCTTGGAGACCAAGGAACAGAAGAACACCGGCTCTGATACCAAAATGTCACATCCCGATTTCTAAAACCCTTAAATAACAATTTTGCTCCGGAGCATATTTAAAATTTTGAAAGAAAGAAATAATAATGTGCTCGAAATACCAATACTGAAAAGAAATTGTTATAATTCATAAGCAAAGCCCTAACATTTGGGCAAACCTCAAACCATAAATTCTTATCCTTTTAAATCTCCAGTCATTACTCATAATCATAAAGCAAATAACTAAAGATTACAAATGCTGCTTACTCCGATCCGTGGTCAGACATCTTCAGAAGTGCTCACGTGGTCCTCCTCTGGTAGCCTGCTCTCTCACTGGATGCTCCTCGACTGGATGCTCCCTAGCTCCTCCTCTACGACCTGGTGAGTGGGTTGGGGTCAGTCTACGCCATTACTTAAACTTGAAGCACTTACGGGTATTCCCTTAAGTGTTCACCTCAAAAACCCGTGGAAGTTATTCATACTTCCACCCTTTAAATTTTAACCCTTAAAAACGTGGGAGTTGTTGTTACTCGCCACCCTCAAAATCTTAAACCTTTGACCGACTCTGGGATCCCCTCACTAACTAGTCCAACCGCCCAGCTCATACGTATGAGGGCCAACATAGGCCTTTCCTTAAACCTGTTTATGGGAGTAATCGATTCAACCCCATAAACCTTAAGAGTATATCATACTCTTCCTTTAAACTTCATGTGATGTCTAAGTGATTCATCCACATGTTCCTTAAGAGCAAACTTGCTCTTCCTTTAAACTTTCACTGGGGCGGGGGACTGGCGTAAGTGAACTACCTTTAAATCTTTTCACCCTAATTTAATTAGGAGTGAAATACCTCTTAAATGTTGATCCTTAAAGATCAAGCAACCTTCATTAAATAACATAAATATAAAAGCTTCAAGTAAATATTGACAGCTCAAATAATCATATACTTCACAATCATAACTCAAATAGAGCATCTCAGATAATATCTCAAATAAAACATGCTTTATCAATCACGACATAAATCAATCACTGGCATACAATTCACATAAACACACATACGTAAAACTCGTAAGTCAAATACTTGAAAATACGTAAGGCGTAGAATTTACCCCCCTTAAACCACTCACCTTATTTGGTCGATCAGTTAAACTTGATCTAGCCCCCAGTCAAAGGATCGATGCTCAAGAGAAGATGATTCGCCTTGTCAACCTATGGCGAATCCTGAGATTAGATCGGTTGGGTTTCGGGTACTTAGCGACGGTTTTCTCGACGTGCGACTACTTTGCAAGATGTGCAAAGTACGACATACTAATATACCAATTAATATAATATACTAGAATCATAATTCTTTAAACCCAACACTTTTAATTTAAAGTCCAAGTTAATTGAAATCATTGAACAACTAATTATGCTAGGATAGCTTACGTAGTTGAAATCAAAGCTCAATTAGGTCATAAGAAGGCACATTACTCTACTAGAGAAATTACTAGCTTTATCTTTTAACTGCATAGATCAATAGGACTAAATTACTATATCATGTTTACTTTTCCTAGAGAACTTAACCCTAGTATTCTCGTTGGCAAAACTAAACTGGACAATCCAATTTACTGATTAGATTAATTAACTTATAATTTGCTAGGATTATTATCATACTATTAGACCAGTAACTAAAATATCCATTAATTAATTTACAGCCTTATAATTATGAAACCAATAGAATTTCCTATTATATATCTTGACCCTCATAATTACAGCCTTATATTTAATCGAATACAGTTTTCTCCGATTGACACTTGTTAACCTAGAGGATTAAATTACCAAACGTACAGCTCATTTAGTGACAGTCAATAGATCAGTCACTAAATATGTTTGGTGTTCGTCGCTAAAGGATTGCTACTGGGTTGGTCGGCTAAACTGTAGCAACGACAAAAGATCTGTCCCTAAAAGCATGTATTCCCGTCGCTAAATTCCCATGATTGTACAAGCTCGTATTTAATCATACAAACGTCGATTATAATGCGAGGGATCAGATTTCCTTACCTCGTATTCGTGCCTAGACCTTCATTTGAGTCATGAGGGTCGTTGTTTCTTGGTTTATTAGTCGTTTGATAACCCGGTACCTTTGTCGTCGAGGCTACGACGGAAAACGACCATGGTTAGCTAATTTATAGCTTCTAATATTGGAAAGGGTCTGGGATCTACCACTCTTACCTACTGTTCTCACGAGAGAGTGGAAGATACGAAGGAAACCAACGCTCGTTATGTGATCCTTCTCTGGTAACGACAATGAACGGTGGTGTGGCTGGTGATGTGGCGAGATGATGATGACGAGATGGATGAGTACGTGTTATTGTTGGCCTCAACCTCCTCCTGCTATCAGTGGCAACGATGATGATTTGGCATGGAGGTAAAAGAGCTTTAGCTTCTGGTGGTGTTTGATTTGAACAAGGAGAAATGGGGTTTCCGGATGCGAGAGGCAGATGGATGGCGGTGGTAATGGAGCACATTTGGGGAAAGGAAATGGTTTCTTAACTTCATGGAAGGGAGGAAGAGGGAAAATAAATGGGATCACATGATTTGCCTGCAGAAGATAAGAGAGAGGTGATGGGAAGGAATTAATGGTGTCGGTTGACAGAAGAGAAGAATGGGGTCTTTTCCTCTTGTTCCACCTCCCATTCATCCATACATCAAATAAATTCCTCACCTGTAGCTTTCTTTTACAAGACTAATTACCTTGTGTTTAATTTAAGCGGAGGGTAGTTTGGGTACTTTGCAAAGGATTAGTGTACGGGTATTACACCGCGCACAATCTCAGTCACGTCCTCGCGCGTGTAGATGGATGCGTGATCTGGCCCCCGCAGCAAATTATCGTGCGGCGCCGGCTGATCACCCCACATCTCCGCCCAGTCAAGTATGGTGTAGGTCGCGCCTATACCACGGAATCTGATAGACCGATAATTACACATGTTTTCACCCATATTCTGAAGCCGTTTCTGATGTGGAATCTCGTGTTTTAAGCCGATTTCACGCTAGGTTGTGTGTTTATGTCATATTTCAGGACCCGGCGTTGGAATCGAGGCGGAGAAACGAGTTCTGGGTCGAAAGGAGCGAAGTTGGGACGAAGGAGGCTGATGGATGAAAATACCCGGCCATGACCAAGAATACCCGGCCGGGTATTATTCCTTTGGGCGCCCCGCGAGAAACAGAAGGGGGCCCGGGCAGAAGGCTAAAATCCCCGATCGGGGATTATAGAGTCAGACCGGGGATTTGCCCCTGGATGAAACGGTGCGCTTCAATTATACCCGGTCGAGACCCAAAATACCCGACCGGGTATTTCGACCGGGTATCGCGATCTGCCAGCTGATTTAAGGAAAAGGAAGGCCATCTTGCAAGGGTTCCGAGTTTTGGAGAGAGAAAGCGATCCCTAGAGAGAGAAAGCGACGAACCAGAGTTCCCAAGTGCCATAGCTTGATCTTCATCACCATTGGAGCCCGGCTTGAGTTTGGAGAAGTGCCGATTAAACGTCCAGGAGCAGAAATCCGTCTTCACAGTATGATTTCCGCATCTGAATCTGCTTTTGCTTCTTTCTCTATGGAGTAGTTCCCCCATTCATCTGGGTATGGGGAACCCTAGATTTGTATGCTAGGTCTGATTGTATGAACCCAAGTACAGAGTTTGTGAATTGATTATATTCGATTGAGGTTTGAATGATTGAATGACTTGAATCCTGATCAAATTCCTGTTGTTTCTGCTTTGACCTAGAATGAGAATATCTGCCTAGGTTGATAGATTATCCTTAATCGAAGGTGGCGAATTGGTGACTTTAGTCGAGGAGTCAATTCGCTATTCTATACCTGCAACCAATTTCGGAGACAACAGCGAGCGAGACTGGTTACGGTGGAGCATAGAGACGACCAATTGAGTAGCGAATCCGAGGACGAGTACGAGATGGAGGGCGAAGACATCCCACAACCGGGGAATGCTCGACAGGCTCCCCCGGTGAATCAGCATCCACCACCACCGCCGGGTCCCACCTTGGAGTACTACTACACTCCACGGATTGCTCACATCTGCCCGGTCATCCTCTATCCGCCCATTCCAGCAAACAACTTCGAGATAAAGCCATGCTGGATTCAACTCATCACATCCTCTATCCAGTTCCATGGCTTGAAGGATGAGGAAGCCCGGGTGCATCTTTCCCGTTTTCTGCAGCTGACGAACGGGTTCAAGCTGAACGGTGTTCCGGATGACGCAATCCGCCTTCACCTCTTCCCCCATTCTCTGGCAGGGAATGCTAAGAGGTGGTTGGAGACCCAGCCCCCATTGTCCATCACTTCTTGGGACGATCTGGCAGACAAGTTCGTGCACAGGTACTATCCGGCATCGAAGACCACAGAGATTCAGCGGGAGATCACTCACTTCCGCCAAGAGCCAGATGAGTCACTTCGTGATGCATGAGAGCGGTACATGGGATATTTCTGGCAGTGTCCCCATCATGGCTTCAGTGATGCTTTCATAGTGGGGAACTTCTACAGTG